ACAAGTTCATTTTTTTCATTCTTGTGCAAAAAGTCCATAAGAGGCTTCCAGTCACCAGTAAATGTAGATAGTGTCTTTTCTCTAATCAAAAAAGTCAACTTATCCATTTCAGCAAAATTTATCAACTTCACCAACCATTCCTCCACAGTGGGTAGTGTCGAATCTTTCCATCTCTGTGCATATAGTAATCTCACCGCAGTAATCATATATTGAAATTATCTTCCATGGCTTTTTTTCTGCTTGTCCATTAATCCTAAAAGGAGAAGTTCTAGCTTCATTTCAAGATTAATCTTTAAAATTTTCTGTATCAAAGTATGTATTTGAATTCAAAGATTTTTAGCTTTTTTACATGTCCACCAAGCATGATAAAATGTACCTTCATGCTGTTCACATTTCTGACATACAATTGAAGTACCTTTATACATTCTCGATAATTTCTGTGGCGTCATGTACTAACAATACATCATTTTATAAAAATTCTCTTTGAGATCATAACACAATGTAAATTTCAACACTTTTAACCACATATTTTCCCATTAATCCATCTATATATTACTGTATAACCAAAATTCTTAGCCCACTTTATCATACATTCTTTAACCTGTTCTTCCTCTATTTCAAATTTCAACAAAAGTTTGTACATTTTAGCAATTACATGTTCATCAACAGTACACAACTGTATTTCAAATTCTGACTTACTTTGCTCCATACCATAAGTCTTTTTATCCATTTTAAATCTTTCAGGTAACTGTAAATGGGAAAACCATTCACAACTGTATCCTTCAGCTATTAGTTGTTCTCTGATTTGATCTTAAATTCCCGTTGATAGTTTTCCCATAAGTCCTGGCACATCAACCATTTACCTTTTCTGCCATTTCTCTTCCTGAGCTTCTTGAGCTGAGATCATCTTCTTCGCTTCTTGAGCTGAGATCCATAAAGGTATTTTTGGGCACAACCTGGGTTTACATCTATTCCATGTTCTCAACATGGCACATCTAATGAAATGTTTTTTAAGTCCACATTAATTTTAACTTTATCATACCATAAATACCCATTCCATCCAAACCTCAGGTCATGACTTTCTAACTCTAAAAGTCTCTTGTTTCTCAGCAACATCCATTCTGTCATCCAGACCAAACAACAAGCAGCGAAATACAATTTCAAGTGTTCCCATGAAGGTCTGGTCTATTAGTCTAGTTAATTTTATTATTTTCAAAGGTACTTTCATCAGAAAAAAAATTTCTATTTTTGAAAATCACTGTCCTCTTTGTCCATTTGAAACTTTCTTATATCACAATCTCATTAAGCTTTTTGCTTTTAAATTAAAATCCTTTAAGATAGTGGGTTTTTTCCTCTCTGTCTTCTTTATTTCAAAAAGAAGGCACTCACTGAAAGCTTTTGATCTTCACTACTGTTTGGAATATCTCTTTTAGGTTGTAAAGCAATTAAATTGTAAAGTGATTAAGATGGTGAGGCTTTTGCCAGTCCAATATCCATAAAGGCTGCACAGCAATTTAGGGCATGCTGTAAATCCTCGGCTCCAAAGCCACTCAACCCACGATCGACCACAAGAAACTGAATTCCTGCACTTTTCTCATGAGGAGCAGCTCTTCCAGAGCACAAAGGGTTGATCCCCTGATTTCTCCTTCCTCTGGAGAAATTTCTGTCACACTGAACTGTCTCCTAGCTGGAAATTCTACTGCTGTTCTGTCCCTGCTTGCAGAGTCACTCGCAGAGATGCCTAACCAACCATAACACCTCACCTGGAAGCCAATTTTGGTTTTCAAATCTTGATACTTTATGATCTTCTCCAATTCTTTGTCTTCTATTCTACTATCCCCTGGTATTGCCACATGAATTATCCACACTTTCTCCTTTTCAACCAGAGTTAAATCTGGTGTGTTATCCACCAAAACTTCATCAGTTTGTATTATTATTATTATTATTATTATTATTATTATTATTATTATTATTATT